CCTTCCTTCTTCCTTCTACTTCCTCTCTTCCTTCTCTATCTTTTCCTTCCTTCCTTCCTCCTCCTTCCTCTCTTCCTTCTCTCTTTTCCTTCCTTCCTTCCTTCCTTCCTTCCTTCCTTCCTTCCTTCCTTCCTTCCTTCCCCCCATCCCTTCCTTGTGAATTGAATGCCAATTCTCAATAAATTGTACTAATATGTGCCATATAAACCGCACCCTTAAATATCAGCTGTAAGGAGTAGGGGAGAAAGTAGTCATCAGCCTCTGTCCATGCCCATGGACTTCTTAAATATTCTCAGATGGCCAATTAATGAGGGGCCAGAAGGCAGGACGAGCCATGGCCCTTGAAGCAATTTACTGGGGATTTTCTGATTGACAGAATGCACCAAGAACCACCTTTCTACTTACACAAGCACCGAAGGTGGCTCACCAGTTTAAAAGCAAAAACACCAAGTTTAAAATATTTAAATGACAATTGCAGTCAATGAACGATTAAAAGCTTGATAGGAGAGTTATCTTGCTAAATTCTCTTATTAAAAAGGTAGTGTGGCATATAACAGCAGCCCAATGAGTATACTTTGCCCTGGAGCTAAGGGATCAACACTAGCTTGTTTGCTATCAGTTCACCCACTACTTTCTGGGGGATAACTTGAGAGATCGTCTGGTTGAAGGGATTATGTGTCCAACTTCACTGTGCTGTTGCTGGCCAAGGAAGGAGATCTTATTATTGAAAAGTTTTATAAAAGTTACAATATAAACCCCAAAACCAACCCCCCCTAAACCCCTTCCCCACTTCCCAGAGCTGAATACAGGGTTACAAATATAATAATCATAATCTAACTAACATTAACCAACTAGGAAGGAGATCTTGATGGACAATTCTCTTGGTAGCCGTAAAATATTTTGTGCTGCATCTGTACGCTACATATCAATTTCTTTCCATGCAGGATCCATGATTTGGCTAGATACTTCGAACATCACCTACAGCAAGTGGTCCCAAGATCCGCCCTCGGTCTTTGCATCGTCCTGTGGCTATATCCTGAAGAATGCTAACTACCAGTGGGGAGTAACTGAGAACTGCAGCCAGGAGTTCGACTTTATTTGTGAATTTGGTAAGAAACTAAACCCACACCCATGCCCTTAAAATACATAGATATAACCGCCTAGACCAGTGTTTCTCAACTCTGGTCAACATAAAGATGGGTGGACTTCAACTCCCAGAATTCCCCCAGCTTAGCTGGCTGGGGAATTCTGAGAGCTGAAGTCCACCGGCATGGTTGAGAAAACTGCCAAGTTAACAAGATTGAGAAACGCTGACCTGGATTATATTGGCCTACTTTTGATTTCTAAGTTTTAGGTTTTATTTCTTTTGATTTCTAAGTTTTAGAAAAGGGAGCAAAAAGGCAAGTGAGAAGCTGCTGATTTTTGCCTACGTCAATGGCCAATGCCAGCCTGAGAACATTCAATCACAGACCCCCTCCCCATGTTACTCCATTTTAATGTATAATGGTACTCATATCAAGCTTCTAACACCCCTCATTAGGCAACAGGGTGGATGTTAGGTAAAACTCCGGGCAGACAAAGATTCCAAAACCATGCAAATCTGTCACTAGATTTGCATTTGCAACCTACAGAACCTGCATTTTGCCAATGGCACATTCATTTGCAACTGAATACTAGTTATATTGTGTAGGTTATTAGAGGGTCGTATTGTTCGTATTTCGTTTTACAGCAGCGGTCCCCAGTTTCGTACAAGACAATTTTTCCATGTGTCGGGGTGGAGTGGAGGAATGGTGTCAGTTTTGCTCACTTGCCCACCGCTCACCTCCAGCTAGCAGGCCACGGACAAGTACCAGTCTGTGGCCCGGGGGTTGGGGACCCCCTGTTTTATAGTGCTTCATTTTATTGTTTCTATTTTGGTTTCCTTGATGGACCTCTGGTTTGTAATAAAGTTAATCATTCATTCAACACTGCAACAGCTTCAGCCTTTCACATGTGGCCTCCTTTACCAACATCCACGCTTGTTAAGGCTATGCTGGGTTGCTGGGAATGGGGGTTCACAACATTTTTGGCCTTGATCTTTTATTAGCCACGAGCTGTGGGAATCTGTGCCACCAAACAGCACAAAACTGATGCAGACTTGGTGTCTTCTAGCTCCTCAGTGGCCCCATCTATCGCTCCCTATTGGAGCAGTTAAGGAAAGCTTTCCCAGATTATCTCACCAGATGTTCTGGAATTCAGCTCCCATAATTCCCAGGTAATTTGTCTTTGGCTGTCTTTGAAAATTCACCTCTTCAAGTCCAACCTGTCTGGAGAGCACCTCGTTAGAGAAGCTGAATGAAGAAGACAAAAGACGCTTTGAAGGAAGCTTTCATTGTTCCTTACTGTCCAGAATCAGGCCACAGCATTGCTTGCGACAACTCCAATGCCACCGTGCAGTGTGGATCAGGAGAAGTCATCCAGATCGGAGAGAGTTTCTATGGGCGGAAAACTCCTCACTACTGTGTCCTTGAGACGCCCTTGCAGTTTGATGACGAAGAAGAGTGCAGTTGGATTAGTGTGAAAGACGAAGTTGCAGGTAAGCCTCAAAAACCATATTGCAAATATTGCAAAGTCCATCCTACGTGGCCCTCCTACTTTGAGAGCCTCAAAAGGCAATAGTACAGACTACCTTGAGTCAAGTTTGACTTACGGTGACCACGTGAACATGTCCGTGTAGTTTTGTTGACAGCAATAGGGAAATTCCTTCATCTTCAGCCTGGATGTTTTTTGCAGCTGCCTGGTTTAGCCTACAGCCCAAGCGTTTCCTAATGGCCTCTCGCCATATCCAGATGCTAACAAATCCAATTCTGCTTAGCTTCCTGGATAGAGCCTCAAGGGGCAATCCAGACAGAAATCACAACCAGATGGGCTACTTCTACTTTGTTATAAAGCTATATGGACAGAATTTTGCAAGTCTGAAAGCACAATTCTGTCCCGTTCCCACCCCCACCCCCACATTTCCTTTACAGCCCAAGAAACTAGAGAGGGTCCCTTCTAAGTCTCTTGCCTTGCCCACTATTCAGCTGCAGATTATACTATCTCCCATCTGACTTTTCCCTTGATAGTGGCTGTTGGGCCAGTCTCCCATGGCCTTTCACACTTACCAATAGAGCTATCTATCTATCTATCTATCTATCTATCTATCTATCTATCTATCTATCTATCTATCTATCTATCTATCTATCTATCTATCTATCTATCTATCTATCTATCTATCTATCTATCTATCTATCTATCTATCTATCTATCTACCTACCTACCTACCTACCTACCTATCCATCCAATCATTTACCTATTCATCCATCTATCTACAAAAATGAGGAACTGAAATCAACTGAAACCATAACTCAAGCGGTCATTTTAATCTCGCAGGGCAATGTCACGGGCTCCAAGCATGCCAAGTTGCAGCGGATGGAACCTTTTTCGGAGAGCCTTGCCCAGGTTTGGGAAGCTACCTCTCTGTCCAATACCACTGCATGGAAGGTAAGCAGTCACCGTTTCTACACACAGTCCAGGGAGGCCAAGATTGCTTAGTGACATCTGTGTAGAAACCCTGTTTTAAAATTGCCAACCAGCAGTCTGTTTTTTTTCCCAAGCAATAACAATGTGGTGTCTTGAAATTCAGAGATTTGTCAGCTTGCTGCCAGCCTATAATAGTTTGCAGAATCATTTAAATTCTTGCAAATACTGCATTCCTAGCTGGGGATTGTTTTTAATGGTGAAGAAGTTGGATTTTATTTTATTTTTCAAAATCACCTTAATTAGACTCCGGAGCTACAACCAAACCAATCACTTTACCATAATCTCTGCAGCCCTTGTGGCAAAATGGGTGACAAACACATTTAATAAAACAAACAAATAAACCAATCTAGTTCTTCTCTGACCTTGATTCTGAGCTGGAAATAATTCCAGGTAGTTAGCTGAAAATGTTAATTGTGCATTTTGCAGTGTAGGATTTATATTTTATTTCTGCCTGATCTGTGATCATAAGTAAACAAACACTGAGTTAGATGAGAACATCTTTATAGAATACTCATATTATTGGAATCTGTACCCAAAAACTTTAGAATTACAATACATCCGTATTAAAATTAATCATTTTGCTGATATAATTTTCTATTTAAGATTATATTATAGTTTTCCTGTTTGGCTCCCCAGCTTGGTCTTAACACCGAGGACTCTTCTGTAAAGATGCTGGAGCTTCAGTACGAGAATTGTATTGTGTTGATGATGTTAGCTTTTGTTTCCCAGGTTCCATACTCATGATTGAAATGGTTGTCATTTTTATAGAGGATACTTGATCTGTTTGTGAAATAAAGATTTGAGAAGGCTCTGAGTTGTCCTTGGATGAAAAAAGGGGATTGAATTCTCTCTACTCTTTTACAGGCTTGAGCTTGGCGGTGAAAGAGACCATGTTTGTGTTGGAAAATGTCACCATCTCCTTGAAATGGCTGCTGTCACCATACTCTGGAAACCTCTCCTGCATAATTAGCACTGGAGATGGCAACACGGTGGACCCCTACTACCCGTCAAGGTCAGAGGAAGCTTGGGGAGAAAAGGAGGAAGAGACTTTCAAGGGACTGTAGTTGCATCTAAGAGTCAGTGAGATTAAAGATCAGGTTTTGCCAAACTGTCAATCTTTGGATGTGTTTAGACAACCATCCCCATCTTCCCCACCAATGCACCACCATGAGCCATGTAGAAAAGGACAGAGCTTTGATTACATGGTCGCAGCCACTGTCTTAACCTTTTTGACCCCTACCTCATCCCTAAATGTAATGTCCCCTAAGAAGGGATGCTTGGCCAAGTTGGACCTAGAACCAACATCTTCCCGTTTTCAATGCCTTGCTGTAGATCTGATGATCTTGGGATGGAATTGTAGTAGGGAGGTGGCTTCAGAAGAGGGATGGGTGAATTCCAGAGGACCAAGAGGCAATCCAGTCTGGATGTTACGTGTGAGAGAAAGAAAATAAAGACAGCCTGTCTCTAATAGTTCCCAGATTTATATTGTAGATGCAAATAGGAGAGTCCTCAGTCTGCCAAGATTTTGTTTACGGGTGTGAATCAATAAAGATCTCAAGTCGGAAGCACTACCAAGTGTTATTCTCGGTTTTGGACTTGACAGATCTGTTGATAATTTGCCCTAGTTTGTGTTTACAGCTTGCATAGCAATGTGACCCACTGCTATACAGTGCCAGGAGAATTCACCGTTTTTGTGGAATGCACGACCAGTGAGTGGCACGTGACTGCTCAAAAACTCATCACTGTTCGAGATAAAATGGATAAGGTCACGGTGACCGGGTGCTTCAGCAAATATGAAGTGGGGAACAGCTCTTATTGCAGGACCCTTTATGAGGAAACCTTATGGATTCAAGTAGAACTTGATGGAGGTTAGTGTACTTTCTCTCTTCCGGTAGCCGTTCAAACAATATACCTTCCCTGCGCATAAAGTGGACCTTTGCTAATCTGAACTATTCCTTAAAGCATCCAGATCTTTTCTATAAACAAAGCCATCCTGAAAGAAAAGTGTATAATTCTGAAATCAGGGCCAACTCTACCAATAGGGAAAATTGGACAGATTGTCTCCAGCAACACATTCTTAAAGCAGGAGAATAAATTGCTAACTAAGCTTGTTCATAGACCGGAAGGAGGAATAGCCATTTTGGAGTTTTGGCCACTGGCAACAACCTTTCTTATTAAGATTTTTTTTTAAAAGCTCTCATGACAAATATAAAAGGTGTGTGTATATGTGTATGTATCAGCTTTCTGCAGGAAGGTAGGCAAATAGGTAATTAAAAAGGAAAAAATAAAAGAGAGAAAAGGCTTACATAATGATGACTAGAATGCTTACTTAGCTTTCATTAGCAAGGTGGTTGGTGGGTGCCAGAAACACAGAAAAGATGTGGCTGCCTTAAAGAGTTACAAGCAGGGGCTACATTTGCATCCTGCACATTTCAAAGTGCCTTTTGGAATCAGAACTTAATGGCTACTTGATTGATTGTGTGCCGTCAAATCGTTTTCAATTCTTAGCAACTGCATAGATCAATTTTAACTATGATGATCTGTCCCTAACTTGATCTTTCAGGTCTTCCAATTGTGCACTCATTGTCACTGGAATTGAATCTGTCTACCTTGAGACCCTATTGTCAGGTTTACAACTGAAACATACAGCATAACAAAAGGGGAAAAGGGGGATGGGAGGGGGGAAATAAACCGTACATTCATTGAAAAAGGTTGCATTCTCTAAGGGATGTTAGAATCACTATCTTATGTAGCAAAGCTGTTTTTCTAAAACAGTGGCCTCTAGGTATGTTGCAATTCTCTTTATCTTCAGCCAGCACGGCTACTGCCTGTCCTTCATCCAAGTGCATTTGTTTATTTAGTGTATGTTGCATAGTATTTGTCTATGTGTATAACAAATCCTGGATAAATAGGCTCAATAAACAAATACATTTGTAATAATGAAGGCATATAGACTTTGTTATAACTGATACCACTTTTAAGCCATTCTGGAATTTTTGTTTTGCAGGGACTGGAGTAACCTACACTATATTGAGTGATAACAAGACTGTGTTGGAGACCAGCACAAAAATAGGAACTGCCCCTCATAATCTAACCTTGGACGGGGTGCCTCAACGGCTGATGGGCCCTGGAGTACATTCCCTTGAAATAGTTGCCACCAGCAACACCACAGATTCAGAGGTCAAAGAAGCCCTGAATGTTCATTTAGTGGAGCCGATTTCTGGTCTCCAAGCTATGTTAACCTCCGACTCCTTGGAATTAGGAGAAGACCTGGAAATCAAAGTCTCTGTACGTCGTGGTGCCCCTGAAAAAGTGAGATTTGAAGTGACCGGGATGAATGAAACATTTTCCCACCTGAAGGATTTCGTTGAAGGAAAGTCTGAAATTTATACAATCCCAATGAATTCTGAAGGTATGGCAATGCCAAGATTCTAATTATATCTAGCTGGTTTATATGCTATCTTTCACCCAAATCTTTCTCCAAGGCACCAAACACACTTCTCCCAGTTTTTCTCTCTGAAAGTTGGGTCTAGCACAGTCAGTGAGGGGATTTCACAAATGAAGGCCAACTATTGTGATTCCGTGCCAGCCTGTGATCCCGGTAGTTGAGTATGGGGAAATCAGAGGAGGAGGAGGGGCCTGGAGAGCCATCAGAGTGGGAGAGAGGCTCTGATGAACTGCAGGACTTACAAACTAATGAAGAGGCTGGTCCTTCCACTCGTGACCAAGCTAAGAGCCAGCTGTGCTGGGAAGCTGAGTCAGACTCGGAGGAAGCAAAGTAGGACAGAGGGAAGCAATGGGGCGACTCCAGGGGAAGAGGAGAAAGCAGTGAGAAGCCACCCCTTGGGGCTGCGTAACAAAAAGGGAATGTGTGGGCAGGGCAAAAGGCAAGTGGACTTTGTTTTTCCTTGAAGACGTTTCACTTCTGATATTTCCAGTGAAATATCTTCAAGGAAAACCAAAGTAAGTCCAGTTGCCTTTTGAACAAGCACTTGTGAGACCTCAGATGGAACTGTAAAGAAGAAGCAGAAAATATCAGAAATGCAGTAAGGACAGGAGAAAAAGGGTAGCTTGCTGAGAGTGGAGAGTAAAGATTGCCCAAAACATGCAATCTGCTTGGTTGCCAAGTTCATTCATCTGAGTTCTTCCAAGCCATACCATAATCTCAAGCTTTTTCAGTCAGATTAAACTTTTCATTCATCAGACTGAACTTCCCTTGACATGATCTCTGCCATTCATCCTCTCTAGATCTCTGAAACACTAAGACCTTCTACTCAGTCAAGATCACCGTTAAACATTCAAGATTCGTTTTTAATTGTGAATCTGTTTCATTGTGTTTTTTTTGTTTTTTGTTTTGGTATGTGCTCTTCTCAGGTACTTTTCTGGTCAAAGTGTTTGTGATGAACGCCTTCTCAAACATGAGTGTTGATGTTGGAAGTGTCACAGTGTCTAACAGTTCTCATAAAAAAGGTAACCATGGGACCTTGATTGTGTGATGCGGGAACTGGATAGGATAAAACTCACGAATAAAGGCAAACATTATCCTGCAACATGTCCCAGGATAATGTTGCAGGATCAAATCTGGGTCGGTCACTAGGACCAGAGGCTTGGGCTTCCATGTTTTTGGTGCTGGAGCCCATCCTCAGGAAACTTCTCTCTACTAGAATGTTACACATTACAACAGAGGTCCCCAACCTTTTGGGCACCAGGGACCGGTTCCGTGGAGAGAGGTTTTTCTGCGGACCAGAGGTGGTGTGGTTTTGTGTGCTGTCTGCATCCCACGGATGGGGCTTTGCTTGTTTGTGCGGACCGGTTGCTGGCATGTCACGGCCCGGTACTGGTCCATGGACCGGGGGTTGGGGACTCCTACATTACAGATTCCGGTAGAGAAATGTCAGAAGGCTAAACCTCTGGTCTCAGTGACCCACCCAGATGGGATCCTAGGATAAACTGTTTAACAAAGCAATGCCAACTTTCAGGATCAACTTGAGTGGGTAGATTGCATTTATACTGTATATACTGTTCTGTGCTCCCAAGACTAGTGACAAAAAATGTACAGGGCAGAAGAAGTCCAGATTTAGCAACTGCAAAACTTTCTAATTGAAATCTCTCTTCCTTTTTAACTTATCCAAAGCCAGTCTTTTTAGAAACCATTTTTAGTCATCTTTCATATTTAAAAAAAGTCTGAGTTGACCAGAGGAGAAACTTCCATGCTTTACAGAGAGAAATTCAAGCCTATCTGGACTAGTGACATTTAAATCTTCTACTGTTTTCTTGGCACTAAACAGATCCTCTGATGAATGAAGAACAATCCAGCACAAATGGGAAAAGAAGACCTGTGAGTATTGGAAAAATGTGGGAGAAAACAAAGTGCATAAAATAGTGCATAGAGGGAATAGACAGCTGAGAGATTTGTCTTAGCAATGTTTCACTGATGCAGGGATATATTTGTGCCTAATCCTTCACATTTCCATTGCTTCAGGATGACAAGGGGAAAAATAGGATATACATTTCACCCAGCCGCCATGCTGGTGTCTTTGCGACACTTATCTTGGGTTGGCCTGAGACACACAGCAACAATTCACTCTACACTTGGTCTTGTGGTAAGTGTATGTGTCTCAGTGGGCTTCCTTGCCTCATTTCTCAGGCAAGATTCCGTTAAGGTAGCTTCACAAAAAAATAGAATTAGCTCGGCTGATTGTGTTTCCTGCTGATCTACCTGTGAAGACAGACATCAGTCTTGCCAGTTTGAATGTACAAATTTCACACCATCTCTTTTACAAGCCTGAGAACTCAGGGAGAGCCTTTCTGACCCTCTTCCTCCGCCCATTATGCAGCTGTAGGCTACAGCCTCTCTTATCTAACCATTACCCTGAATCTCTTCCCTCCTTCCTCACCCAGATCCGAGTTGCGCAGTCTCTTAATCCCGGTCTCCTTCTGAAACAGCTTTGTGTTGTCAAAAGCCTCCCCCTCTGCTTCTACAGGTGCACATTCCATCGCAATTGCGTTGGGCAAATTCTATCTTTTGCAAACACAGAATAAATGAAGGCAAATAAAGGTGCCCAAGATAATGTTTCAGGATCCAATCTGGTCCCAGTGAGCGACTCAGATTGAATTCTGCAACAGAACAAATGACTTCAACTCTGAGACAATGAAGGACCATCACATTTATCCTGGTTCTGAGGTAGATGAGGATGTGCAAATAATTGGGATGAAAAACTGCCTTTGCAGGGTTCTGCTGGCCTCAGTGGGACGAATGTGTGCAGCAACAATCTATCGACACTGTACAAAGAGAGATCCGGATACCCCCCAACTGCCTGCCTCCTCCCAGCTCTGCAGTGACAGTGAAAGTTGCGGTGAAAACCCCAGAGAAAGAGGAGAAGCAGGATGAACAGTGTTTGTACATCACAGCAAAACAAGATTTGAGCCTGAGGATCAGGTGTGGCAACCTTGCATGATTGTTCTTTAACATGGATGGGGAGAAACCTCTTTAGAAAGCTAAGCCATGCGATTATATAAGAATGGGACACCTTTCTAGCCCCCCCCCCCAATTAATGTTGTGCATGCAGGCCCTGATATTCATGGATTATAGTGCCTCCATCTGGCTTCATAAATCTCACTAATGCACAGTATTTGTTCATTGTTCTGCTGGACAAGACCTACATTAAATGTTGCATTGAAACACACAATCTGGTATTGAGCAAACTTTATTGTCCCATTATTTTATTTTATTTATTTTATTTATTGTATCATTGTATTATTATTATTATTATTTTATTTTAATTTTATTTTTTTCATTCATTCAATCAATCAATCAATGAATCAATCAATTTCTATAGCCTCCCAACTCAAGCAGGTGACACTGGATGGCTTGCAACAAATCACGGCTATGAAAAATTATAGATGGGCAAGGTGTCTAAATTAATGCTTGAACTGAGTATGATTTGTGATCGTCAAAATAAACACTGCAGCCCAAATTGGCACAGTGAGTTGAAATGCTTTTGTATTAAGGATGGTGTGAACTTCTCTCTAAAATGACAATATTTATTTATTTAATAAATTTAAATACCACCCATCTCAGGATCAGGTGACTCACCATATTCTCTACTGCTGTGCCTCCAATCAGACTATTAACCCACCAGCTCCGATTTTTTTTTCTTTTATGCTCAAAAACCAAACCATGTTTAGGTTGTGAACTATTCAAAGTTAGTTATACTGAAAAAATGAGTTTGTATGTTGCTAAGAGACAACAGCTATACACTACCTCTTGAAAACACTGCTCATCCTGAGGTTATCCTTGTGCCATTTTGGTAGGAACGGTTAATTTTTATTTTACTAAACGCTTCTTTTTATTTTACTAAATGCCATTTTCTTTGGTTCCTCCTAGCTGTGAGAGGAATTGCAATCCTGCGAATATCAGTGAAGATGTTATACTTAAAGTCTCAATGAGGGAAGGCATAAAGCCTGTATTTTACAAGTGGTATTTAGATCACACCTTCAAAAGAAAGGTAAGACTACGACCACCTCAGAAATTCAATATATTCTTACACACTCTGAAAAAGAATAGTTTGTAGAGAATAATGTTCCCTCTGAGAACAAGCAACATTCAAGAGATATGGATGTATCGGATGATCAAAGTAGGGTTATACAGAACTATACTATGTCACTTTTCAGGGAGCAGATTCCAGATCTCCACTTCTAGCAAATTCATAATGGTGTGCCTATGAGTAGGAAGATAGAACTAACTTATGTTCTACTTAGAACTAAGGAGAAATTTTCTGAGAGTGAGAACAATTAACCAGTGGAATAATTTGCCTACAGAAATTGTAGAAGCTCCATCACTGGAGGTTTTCAAGAAGAGACTGGACAACCATTTGTCTGAAATGGTATAAGGTTTCCTGCTTGAGCAGGGGGTTGGACTAGAAGACCTCCAAGGTCCCTTCCAACACTGTTATTCCATTACTCTGTTATAGTTTTCATCCTTTCTACAAAACTATCAATCTAGTTTTGCAAAATGTTCAGAATCGGGCGGGCTCTTAGCTCCCCCCCTCCCACTTCTCTCAACAGAAATGAGACTTGTGTTCACGGATTTGTGGAATGTTTTTTGAAAACAGCTGCTTCCTGGAATGACATGGATGCATGCAATTTTCTTTTCTTTTTTTTTTAACTCTGTGTTTTTCTTTCTCTTGAGGCTTCATTTTTGTTGGAGTGACCTTGGGGTTCTAATGAAACAAAAAGGCCCCCTCTTTTAGAAACCCAAAGCTATAATTCCCAACCATGCTTGCTATTAAAATATATCCCACGTAAAATACAAAGACTTACTAGAAAGGCACATGAGCCAAACAAGTGCTGATTATGATCTTTCTATAAGGATATTTAAGAAGGAAGAGTTTAATCTCACCATTTGAGGATGAGATGAAGCAAATATTCCTACCTAGTGGACAGAGCACGTTTGGAAGAGATGAGGGCTACAAAAAAAAGAGGACATTTTATAATTCCTGTTTTTCTTCGACTTTCATCAGCCTAATGCGCTTCCTCCAGGATGCAACTTAAATGGTTTCCCACAGAGCTGGCTCACTTTTCTTCAGAACGATACTGAAATTCTTCTCCTGAACAGCTCCTTCTTACAGTCACAAGGCGAAGCCTTTCAGATCAAAGCAACAGGTATTGGCCATTCAGCTTTGGATATTTTTGTTTGAAGTAATTTATTGCCTGATTTAGTGGTTGTTTAAACCGGCAGCTTTTAGTGTTAGGCTGCTAATTGTTATGCCAGTGGTGGGATTCAAATAGGTGAACAACCGGTTCTCTGTGTGGATGCCACTTCCGGAAGTCCGTTCTGGGCCTGGCCAATAAAAAAATTAGCTACCGGTTCTGCCAAAGTGGTGGGGACTGGCTGAATCCCACCACTGTGTTATACCAGTATGCTGTCAACGCCTTGTTTTGGACTTATAAACTCTCCAAGTGTTTACAGGCACTCCTTGACTTACAACCAATTCAGCTGAAATAAGTCATAACATACTAAATCAATAAAATTTCTATACCAGTGATGGCGAACCTTTTAGAAACCGAGTGCCCAAACTGCAACCCAAAACCCAGTTATGCATCGCCTGGGTGCCGGGTGTGTGTGGCCCATTGGGTGGGCGTAGCCCATTGGGTGGGCGTGGTTCCTCTGGTAATGGCAGACTGGGTGGGACTAAAAAGTTTAATCAATCAATTCCAACTTTGCAAGATTTTTTTTCCCGTGAGAAGTTGAAATTGACTGATTGATTGAACCTTTTTTTGTTCGTTTTTGTACACGATGGCGGAGGCCTAAAGCGAAAAGGTTTTATAAAACCCAGCTGAAGGCCTAGGACTGGGGCAACGGCGTGCGTGCCCACAGAGAGGGCTCTGAGTGCCGCCTCTGGCACCTGTTCCATAGGTTCACCACCACTGTTCTATACTGTTCTGACTAATAATACGTAAAAAAAAAAGGTTGAGAAAGGAATTGTAGATGGAATAGTAATAGTAATACCTGTTCTTTAGCAAAGACACGTGTATTTGATTTAAAAAGTGCCAGGGTACATTTTAAGGTCTATTCCTCACAATGTAAATCACAGTAAACCAATTCTTGACCTCTTCTTGTTTCCAAAATATCCAGCTCTGAGTGAGAACAAATATGGAGAAGAAACTTACATTGTCAGCTCGGTACCTCCTCCAGTAGCTCCAGAATGTTCCGTATCGCCTCCTCAAGGATCAGTGCTCACCAGCTTCTCCATCTCCTGCCACACTTCCTGCTTATTGGACCAGTGTCCTCCAGTTTATAGCTCTTCATTCACATATTGCTTCTACCTGGAACCAAGTGAGATTCAGTGATTGGGTTGCTACCCTGAAGGTTCTTCTTTAACTAAAGGGCTGTGATGGAATATAGTCTGGATTCCTAGGAGGGATGGACTGCATTCCAGATGAGCAAAAGACAGCAAAGTTTAAATTATTATTATTATTTTATTATTTATTGAATTTATATACCGCCCTATCTCCCTTACAGGACTCAGGGCGGTGAACAGGCGATAATAAAAACCACGATAAATATACGCAAGTTTCTGTTCTAAAATCAAATTAAATAACAGGCCTGCTCTAAAATACCCCATACAAAACCCCCACTAAAACATAATCAAACTACGCCAGGCCGGCCACACGGAATAGATGGGCCTTCAGGGCTCGGCGAAAAAGGCGCAGGTCCGCAACTGTACGTAGGTCGGGGGGGGGCAGGTCATTCCAGAGGGCAGGAGCTGCCACAGAGAAGGCTCTCCCCCTGGGGGTTGCCAGCCGGCATTGACTGGCCGACGGCACCCTAAGGAGGCCCTCTCTGTGGGAGCGGACTGGTCGAAGGGAGGTGTTTGGTAGGAGGCGGTCTTGCAAATACCTAGGTCCATTGCCACGGAGCGCTTTAAAGGTTGTTACTAACACCTTGAAGCGCACCCGGAAGGCCACAGGCAGCCAGTGCAGCTCGCGCAGGAGAGGTGTTACATGGGAGTATCTAGAGGCCCCCAGGATCCCCCGCGCAGCCGCATTCTGAACTAGCTGGAGCCTCCAGGTGCACCTCAAGGTATAATTTACATGAGAGGAAGAGAGTTAAGACAGCTTCTCCCTAATAGTTCTCAGAGTATATATTTAATGGTGCAAGTAGGCTGCTTTAGTTTGGGAAGATTCCAGCCTATAGGTGAAGAACAATAAAGGAAACTGTTTTGAAGAACCTCAACAGGTCTTTCTTGATTTCTGGATTTTGACCAGGACAGCACTGGTCAAGCCCTTCTACAACTTCTGAATTCTTTCTTATTTCATGTCCCCATGTTTCGGGAGTTGACCATTCATGCTTTTGAATGCCACAAGAACCCCACAACCTTCCTAGATATTGTCTATGGAATTCAAACATTTTAAATAGCCTAATATCCCATGAAAACATTTGATCATGCAAAACTTTATCACTCGCTCAGGAAATCTCATGAGATTTCAGAGGAAAAGGCATGAAACGTGAACACCCTTACAAAAGCTTGAACAAATTCTTGCAGATGCTCTTTTCTTGGATGACTCAATGACATGCTTTTCCATTCATTGAGAATAGCCAATACATTATAATGTAAAGGCAATTTAAGGGTAGATAGGTTGGTTTGTTAGCCCTTCCTTAATTAGTTAATGAAACTTTGTCATTTGATGAGTCCAGTTTTCCATCTGAGTCCACGTCCTTCTTTTTTGTTCTTTTCAGAGTCACTCCTTCACTGTGGACAAGATCCAGTCCTGCCCTTGGTCTACCTTCCATTGGGAGAAGAAGACAATGACTTTGTTGTACAGATTAAAATTTCAGTGACCAATAATTACGGCCATATTGTTTATTCAAATGCCACCGTCAGGGTGAGTGATGATCTTGCTTACATTCACAGCTTTTTGCTTTTGTTTCCATAGACTTTATCATCCAGGACGAAGAGAAATAAATGATTCGAACCAACTTTGAAAACATGTGGATTGACAAAATTCCCATCTGTCAGTTACAAAAGCATTACAACATCCTAGTTCTTGTGAAGAACTCAGTGTGTATGAAACCCAACACCAGCTAAATAATTGGCATCTGTGATTTCCTACTGTTGTGTATATAATTATTTATTAAACCTGTCTGCCACCTGAGCTTCAATGACTCTGGGCATTAGGGATGAAGGACAGATAGACAACTCTGCTTTTTTCCCCTAAACCATTTTGTTTTGCCAGGTTCAACCTGAAGATATAAACAGTGGGAACCAAACTTTTCAGGCTATGATTTTGGAAAAATCAAACAGCATCCTAAAAGGAGAGAATAACAGCATGTCCCTCTTTCAGCTGTATAAGTCAGTGTCTTCCGTTCTTAATCAAGAAACGAAAGAAGCCACCTTTAATTCATCTCTGCAGACAAATACACGGAAAGAGGTCAGTTTTTTGACCTTCTCTTTCAAAACCAGTTGCTCCAGTGATTGAATTCAGAACCAAGATTCTAGAAGCAATATCTGTACAGTTCGGTTATGGAAACCAACTTTATGGTCCTAATAGATTATTATCATACTGGGGAGACCATGGAGTAAACTTGAAATATCATATACCCATCCAGCTGTTGTTAAAAAGTAGAAGGAGGCAATGAGATGATTATAAACAAATCGGTTGCTAAACATGATGGAACCTTTAACATATCTAGGCGGCCCATTAGAAACCCGGTGACCACATTCACACAAAAATTCACACCTTTCTTAAAACAATGCACAAAACCCATGACATTGCTAAGCATCGTTTTGTCAAGAAATATATTAAGACAAATGTAAACAGAAAGATAACCCTCATGAACATGTCTACATTGGGAAAACTATGTTCCAAAAGATAATATTCAGAGAAATATACAAGGCTATACATGTGTATCTATTCTAGCCGTTTTAGCGTAGAGGTTAAAAACCAAAGAAACATTACAATCTTATGCAAAAATGGCCCAGAGACAACACTGGGAAAATAAGAGAGAAATCAAATGAGATAAATTTCACTCTTTTAACTAGAATCAACATGAAGAAATATCAGGAAAGAAATCTAGGCAAGGTACTTGGAGAAGTGACCTAATAGTAAAAATTGTTAGAATAGAACTGATGACTTTGTTGGGAAGAGAATTTCCTTGTGGAGGTGTTAAAAAAAAAAGAATTTAAGTAGCCACCAGTTGTTGTAAAATCCTTGCTGTAAGTTGTGCTTCAATTGTTCTGGGATGTTGAGACCCTAAAAAGAGTACAGAGAAGAGCAACAAAGATGATGAGTCTTGAGTCTAAACCAGTGGTTCTCAACCTGTGGGTCGGGACCCCATTTGGGGTCGATCGACCATTTCACGGGGGTCGCCAAGCAAGGCTGTCTGCCATTTTTTTTGTCCGCCATTTTTTTCCCCCTTTTCCGGCGGGTGCCTTACCTCCCTTGGGCTGGGCCAACTGGTGGTCGGCCTGCTCCGTCTCTGCCGCTTGCCAGCTATGCCTCGGCTGGCGCAGGGGGCAGAACCACGCATGCATGGCGCTCCCGGGCAAGGAAAGTCCTCGACTTACGACCGGTTGGGTAGTCCTTGACTTACGACCGGTTTAGTCCTCGGCTTACGACCGGTTTAGTCCTCGACTTACGACCGGTTGGGGTCGCGGCATTAAAAAGGTTGAGAACCACTGGTCTAAACTATACGATGAACAATTGAGGGAAGTAGGTATGTCTAATCTAACAAAGAGAAGGACTAGGGGTGATATGATAGCAGTACTTCCAGTACTTAAGGGGCTGTCACAGAGAATAAGGGGTCCACTTATTCTCCAAAGCATCTGAAGGCAGGACAAGAAGCAATGGGTGGAAGATCATTCAAGAAAGACCCAACCTAGAAATAAGGAGAAATTTCCTGATGGCGAGAACAATTAATCAGTGGAATGTTATTCTACGTCCTTACTCTTATGGTCTCTCCTTGTCTCTCAAGCTTAGAGAGCTAATGCTGACAACCCTTTCAGGAGTCAACGTCACATCGATGCAGACAGCCCTCAAAATGTCAGAAGTCCTCAAAGAAATCACTTACAGGAGCGAAGAGCTCTCGTCTTCTGCCCAGGTGAGCAGGCAGCCCAGAAGGCACTTCCTGAACTCTGGATAAAGCAACCCAGACTGTAACTAGGATGCCAGAAGCTACGTAAATGTGGGTCATTTCAAAAATGATTCCACAGCCTGCAAAAGGGGGAAAAATTAAAAAGAGGGGGACAAAGTAGGAATGGACAGGAACCATTTCATTTTTTCTTTCTTTTAGAATTTAGAGTAAAGCTTTAATCATCAACACAGCAGGATTGGACAATAATAGCCAGGCAGAAATTGCCTGGAAAAAAGAAATGGACGGGTTTTTTCCTGATGTTTACCTCTGGCTCGGAGAGAAGGGTGGTGGGATGCCTAAGGACCCTGTCAGGCACAAGAAATAAGGAGCCAATAAGGAATCTGAACTATTCATGAGGGTCCTTGGTGCCCTCTGAGCTTGGTTGTTTTCTTGAAGAGGTTTCATTACCCAGGCTAGGTAGTATCAGTGCTATGAGGACCCTCATTTCAACTTTGAGCTACAAATATTCCCCTTAACTGGGAACTATTAACAGTCAAAGCAAATTGGCACCAGATGAGAGTCAACAAAACTCAAGGTGGGCTGGACTTAGATCCCTTCTGGGCGCAAAGGGACTTGAGACTGATGACACGCTTGTCCCCTCCCTCAGGCTCAGCCTATGCACCTCTTCTTCTCTCTAGGTGGAAGCTAGTCATACTCTGAAGAGTGTTAGTGAATCCTTACTAGTGGTGGACACAGAGGATGGAGAAGATGATCTAAAGCGCAAGGAGGCTGCCAGCTACCTTTTCAGCGCCGTAAGCAATGTCCTAGAAGCTACTGTGCAGAATGAAACAGAAGAAGCCTCTGCCCTTGAGATGGCACAGGTGAGGGGTGTGTTGCCTTGCATTTACGTGCCTCTGCAAATCTTGTTGGTACTCTTGTTCACCAGTTAGGAGGACACTCACTTCGACCAACTTCAAGCAGCCATTAGAGTAATTATCCCTGTCCTGGCAGAAATTCAAACCTCTGCTTCTGCACTATGTTCAGAAATTTAGTTTTTCCTCTTCTTTCAGGCTGGCTATTATGGCAACACACAATCAGGGCCACCACTTGTGAGAAAAAGACCGGCTAAAATGCCGAGATTGCGCTTCCGGAACTCACAGGGACCTCTCAAGGCAAAACAGAAGAAATTTAGCTAGCTAGTTATTAGATTCTTTTTTATCCCACCTTTATTGGTAGTTTAAACATAACTCAAAGCGGTGACATTCCCCAGTACAAAAGTCTATAAATCCTCACTCTCCTGGCGACCACAATCAAGTCAACCACTGGATGGGCTTCATATCATCCTGGGATCCCCAGGCCCAGTGGCAGAATCATGTCTTCAGACCTTGAGAAAGAATGTCAAAGTGGGGGGCAATCTTATTTTTACAGGGATGATGTTCCATAGGGAGGAAGCCTTCGTCCATTAGATGCACGTCCTTAAAAGAAGGGGCCCCTGATATTTCCTGCCTCCCCATTCTGGTGGATCGGGTAGATATGATTGGGAAAAGACGCTCCTTCAAATAACCTGGTCCCAAGTCATGAAGGGCATGTTGTGGATACTCTCATAAAATGGATGCTGTCTGAGGACTTGTCTTTTCACCAACAGTTATCATTAGCAGGTTGCATGTACTTTCTAAGAGATCTTCATCTTCATCTATTAAGTCACACTGGAGGGCAGCAATTTATGGTGTGGTTTTCCCATTTCCTATTTTGTAAATTTCCTACTTTGTAAATGGTTAGAGGCATCCAAAATTTAAAACAGCGTTCCATCGGATAGCAGTTTGATGGACATCAGAGAAGCTGGGGAAACTGATATCCATTGGAATACTTTTGGGGGGAACCCGTTCTACCTGGCATAAAGGACTCTTACAGAATCTAGTTTATTTCTTCCACCATAGAATTCAGTCTCGCAAGAACTCATAACCACAGTTGAAAACCTTCAGAGTGCTCTACTTTTTGGAAAATTGCCCGACAGTGAGCCTTTGGTGCTAACAGCTCCTTCTGCAGCTATGTATATCAACAGGTAATCATCTCAACTGTTTTCCATTTCTGTCTGGGAAAGATATATTACACCCTGGGTACCGTATCTGGGCTGCAAACTTTCTTATTACCACCAGGGGAAGGAAGGAAGGAAGGAAGGAAGGAAGGAAGGAAGGAAGGAAGGAAGGAAGGAAGGAAGGAAGGAAGGAAGGAAGGAGGGAGGGAGGGAGGGAGGGAGGGAGGGAGGGAGGATCCTAGTTTGTTTCAGAAAGTGCATTTCTGAGTTTATGCATTGTATTAAACCCAAAATAAACTGATTTCACTTAGCATTTTTTATTTTCCTAGAAGTAGCTTCTCAAAATGATTTCCTAGATCTTCTGTTTAGGCTCCTTAAGCTGGAGATGCCAGGAACAAACCAAGGTTTATCTAATACTTGTCCTTTCTGCTCATCTCTAGTCTCACCTGATAGCCCTTCCCTTCCCTTCCCTCATTGCGGAACATGTTAAATCATAAACCATAGTTAATAACATTATCCAAATCCCTACAATGTACTGAACAAAACCCAAAGTCAAACAGCCACATTCTATCTTACAGGGTGTTTTGCACCCAGGTTCTCATTTGCTTCTTATTTCTCCTCTCAAGAGTGCATACTGTAAAAGAAGATCAAGAGCGGAGCTAGTCTTCACAAAATCAGCCCTTTCACCCAATGCAGCCTGTCACTTAAGATCCGTCTGCTTGCTTTTTCTGCCTTGTCTTCTCACCTGCCTTGTTTTCTGACGCTTATGTGTAAAGGTTGCAGACCGAGAATGTCAACAGCACGGCCATTAAAATCTCCGACTCCGGTTCTGCGGCTTTCACGCTTCCTTCTGCTTCTTCTCTCAGCATCTCGGGAGACAGCGACGAGACCGTGGACATCAGGGCAAGCCCACACTTTTATCGGGGTTTTCTTTGGTGTGGGAATGGGTTTTCTTCCACTCTTGAGATGTCCCTTCATTTTTAATCAGAATGTAAATGTTGAAATAGCAGTGATGGCCCATATGACCTTCTCTCTCTCTCTCTCTCTTTTTCTGGTGCCTTCAAGTCAATATTGACTTCTGGCAACTGTTCTGGAAAAGTCCCTGCAGTTTTCCTGGCAAGATTTCAGAAGAGGTTTGCCATTACATCCTTCCAAGGGCTGAGAGACAGAGACTGGCCCAAGGCCACCCAGCTGACTTTTTGCCCAAGATTGAACTAGAACTTACAGTCTCCCAGTTTCTAGCCTGATGGCAATAACGACTATATCAAACTGGCTCTCCCCTTCGTTATCACCTAGAAAATAAAGAGCACATTAAAAGAAAGACAGAATATGACTGCAAAGAGAAATGAAAACTTTTTTTTAAAATGAAGTTGAAGTGAAGTTGAAGTTAAAGTTTAAGTAAAAAAAAACAGAGGGGAAAAGTGAAGAAGAACTGCAGAGGAATATTCATTAATATTGTTGCTGAGTTGCTGCCAGAATGGAATTCTTGCATGGGAATCTGCATTTTAAAGTCTAATGTGGCACTTATCTGAAGAAATCTTGACCATTAAGTATGCCTTCTTGCAGATGGTGAGCTTCTCGGTAAATCCCTTTTCCTCAAGTGATTCATTTGATATCCACGGAACTGTTGGAGGCCTCACTCTTACCAGCCTAGATGGATTGGTCATTCCAGTATATGATCTTTCAGAAGATATTGAGGTAATTTTTCTTCCCTTAGGGGCTTTGCTGAAGACAAATTTGTCCTACATCCTGATGGTTTTGTTTTTTTTCCTTTTTCTACATTTGTAGTTCCTCTATTAAACCGACAGTAATAGCAGAGTTGAGAAAGATCATGGCAGAAAAAACTAAATATTCTACTAGCATTCTATATCTCTCCACATCCTTCCATTTTCTCTTCCTCAAGTTATTCTCTCACCCCTCCATTCTTTTAGGGGACAGAAGCACTTTCTCTACTTCTCCCACCGCCCTTAACTTTATAAAACGTTGGCATAAATTACAGAGTAAGACTATAGTTAGTGTTATCCTTTCAAATGTTAATGGTTGTGATTTATTTTAAAAGCTCTCAAGGTATGAACGGATTTCCAGAGCTAATTGGTTAATTTTAACCAATAGATACGGTTACCCAGAAGTCCTGCAACCCAAGAGGACAAGAATATATTGAATCTGGGAAATTTCACAGCTGTCCAAGTCAACGTGACTACAGCAGACTCATCTCTAGTGATCTACCTGGAGATGGATCAAAATATTCCACTTATCCTTTATTTGGGATATGATTATCTTCCCAACGAGACTGATCATGAACTGATGGCATGTCTTCCTCACAACAGAAATACCAGAGGTAAAATTGAATCCCAAAACTGGTCAATGATTTTGTAGTGCATGCCAATTATTTTGTAACGGTTGTGTGGCCGTAATGATATTTAATGTAGAATCTGGATTTGTGAGGGAAAAAACCACAACTAACTATTTGGCATTGGTTTGTTTGTTTGCTTGTTTGTTTGTTTTGGCAACCCAGATGAGATATATTCTTGGGTGCTTCAACCAGAAGATCTGATCTTTGGAGAAGGGATGTATTATTTTGTCGTGAGACCAGACACAGAATTGGACTTCCTTGCTCCCAATGAAATGAACATTTCCATCACTTCCTTTGTGTCCCAGTGTGTATTCTGGGATGGGCAACGAAAGAGTTGGAATAGCTATGGATGCCGTGTAAGTAGAGAGAAGTAGAAACATTGGAATACATATTGAAGATTTATGATTAGGCAACATTTTTCCCCTGATGTGAGACCTTATAGATATACTGGGACTGCAACTTTTGAATGCTGGGAATTACATTCCTTACACTTCTGGAGAATGCAGGCTATGGACAACTGTTGTATTGTAAGACATAGTTCCCTCTCAGTCAAAAGTAAACAACCTGATTTTAAAGGAAGAGGCAACTGAAACTAGGAATAAATGGGAAGTGTTTTTCTGGCTAAATGAGAAAGAAGTGTAGTCCTTTATTGTTGGAAGCAAAAGACCAGGACCATAAGCTGAGTTGTAGCTCAAAAAGATTTATTACTCAGGCCTAAACATAAGAATCTGGTCAATAAATGATCAACACCAAACTGGTGCTAGATAAGGGCCAATGGAATTCAAGGGGGGACTGGTCTTGGATCTCTTATGGCAACGTAAGGACTCTAAGCTGGTGACACATTTAACTCTGCCCCCTGTCTCTGCTTGCTCTTCTCCTACATTTATGCAGAGTGGGAAAAGGGAAGAATAATTGCATAGACAGAGCTTACATTTAACACGATTAACAGAATTCTTTCATAATGGCCCGTTAGCTTTTCTGTAACAAAACAATCTTCTCCGAAGTTCTTGAATTCTGATGTGGCTATTTAATTCATGGAAAAGCCTGACTGCCAGAGGTGTGTGTGTGTGTGCATCACAATAGGAGCTGATACAGATAAACACAAACCAGAGATTTTTATTCTGGACACTGATACACTATACCAATAAAGTAGTGTGATCTAATAATATATACAAGAGATAGTACTATTCACAAACCGGTATGTGTTTCTATGTATGTACAAGTGGTGTAAGAAATATAAGAAAAGGACAGAAAAGGACTCCTTCCTTGCATAGAGGGTGGACTAGAAGACCTCCAAGGTCCCTTCCACCCCCGGGATTCTATGAAATCAACTCTTAACCTACTTAATTTCCCTCCCCTTCATGCCTCTTTCCCTCCTTTTTTGCTTACATTTTATTATGGCTTCATCTCCTGCTCCTTGTCTCAGTTACTGATACTGGAATGTCTCTGATTCCCCCCCCCCCCCCCCCCCCAGTTGTCTTGCTACCAAACAAGACTTTCAACTCACAATGTTCCCAAATCTCCATACACACAACACAGTCCACCATCCTGGTCTTTCCACACTTTCACAAGCCACTCCCGCCTTTTTCTCCTAATCTTTCTTCATGTCCTAGATTGGAATCTCTAGATACGATAGGCTGTGGGACCTTCCTCCATTTCCTCTTATTTTGCTTTTGGTTCTGTGCTGAACTATTAGCCTTCCCTAAAAACAATCCATGACCTTAGCTCAGATCTAACCCTTTTCTTCCAGCTGTGCGCTTCACCTCCCACACTGACAGATGTGGAAACAAAGACGCCCAAAGTCTGTGACTGAACAGATGTGATCGAGGTAGAGGTCAAAATGACATCTTTTCTTTCGATTCCAGGTTGGTCCCAAAACAACTCCTGGGGATACTCAATGTCTCTGTAACCACCTGACCTACTTTGGCAGCTCTTTCTTTGTCATGCCAAACACCATCGATGTCAGCAAAACTGTGGAGCTGTTCGCCACTTTTGTGGACAACCCGGTGGTGGTGACCACGGTAGGCTGCATCTTCCTCGTCTACCTTCTGGTTCTGATCTGGGCCCGAAGAAAAGACATCCAAGATGATGCCAAAGTAAGCTGCACACATTTTCTGCCTGGCTTTTGTTTCTTTTACAATGCAAAGAATTCTCTTTTGCTGAGAGATGCTGAGCCATTATGGGACCTACAAGATGGTACCTTGACTAGCAACAGGCACTTAGGCTTATATACTGCTTCACAGAGCTTTACAACCCCCTCTAAGCGGTTTACAGAGTCAGCATTTTGCCCACAGCAATCCGGGTCCTCATTTTACCGACCTCGGAAGGATGGAAGGCTGAGTCAACCTTGAGCCGGTCAGGATTGAACTCCTGGCAATGGGCAGAGTAAGCCTGCAATGCGGCATTCTAACCACTGCACGTAATGGATGCATGGATGGAAGGGAGGGGAGGGGGGGAGGAAGGAAGGAAGGAAGGGCAATAGCAATAGCACTTAGATTTATATACCACTTCACAGAGCTTTACAGCCCCCTCTAAGCAGTTTACAGAGTCTGCCTATTGCCCCCAACAATCTGGCTCCTCATTTTACCGATCTTGGAAGGGTGGAAGGCTGAGTCAACCTCGAGCCGGTGAGAATCGAACTGCCAAACTGCTGGCAGTTGGCAGTCAGCAGAAGTAGCCTGCAGTACTGCACTCTAACCACTGCGCCACCACGGCTCATATTTACCATTCATGAAGCTTCCACTGCGGAAGATTGTCCCATTTTTCAGTTCTGTAGATCTTGAACAGTGCACATTTTTTAAAACCTGCCGACACTGATCTAGCAAGGAATCTTTCCTTGTTTATTTACACATTCCTATTCCTCATCTGCTGGTTGTCCCTGAAGTTGCATTACTTCTCTCTAGGTGAAGATAACCCTCCTGGAAGACAACGACCCTTTTGCGCAATATCGTTATCTGGTGACCGTTTTTACAGGGCATCGCCGAGGTGCAGCTACAACTTCTAAGGTAGCCATGGAGTCCCAGATCTTGTTGCTTAAAAGAGCTACAGCACCTATGTTATCCTGAGTCTAAATAAACGTCGAAGAGAACGTTCTCTTAAATCACCCAGCCACAGACTGGCGGAGGACGTCTTTCTGATTAGAATAGGTTACAAAAAGGAATCCTTCTTTTGCATTCCCCACTTAGCACGGCATGCAGGTTTTTAATCAATACAAATAAAAATGGAAACACTATCTGCATAGTATATGTTTGTCTGATCGTCAGACAGGTCATGCCTTGTCATTTGCTGCTAGAAGGAAGACGAACAGGAAGTGGTGATAGATAAATAGGAGCCCCGCAAACAGTACAGGAAGTCCTTGACTTACAGCCATTGGCTTAGTGATCATTTGAAGTTACAACAGGATAAAGTTACTTCTGAACGTTTTTCACACTTATGACCGTTGCAGCACCCCCCCCCCCCCCATGGTTACATGATCAAAATTTAGGCATGCCTGACCACTGGCATGTACAGGTAGTCCTTGATTTACAGCAGTTCATTTGGTGACCGTTCAAAGTTACGATACTGAAAAAAGTGATTGGAGCCATTTTTCATATTTTGGGCCCCACGGTGCTCATTAGGTGAGGCCTCCCTGTATGCCAATGAAATAAATGAGGAACTGAAGCTGTTCTTATGCCTCCTTTCTATTCCAGGTGACTCTCACCTTGTATGGCCAGGAAGGAGAGAGTGAGCCACACCACTTGGTGGACCCCGATACCCCAGTTTTCGAGCGAGGGGGTGCGGATGTCTTTCTTTTGTGTACCCTTTTTCCTCTTGGGGAACTACAGAGTGTCAGACTGTGGCACGACAGTTCAGGAAGGAGCCCTGCCTGGTACGTAAGAGAGGGAACAGAACTGTCCTTTTATCTCCTTTTGCAAAGAGAAGACCTTCCAAAATACTTCTTTATTGTTTGAAATTACGTTTCGGCTTCATTTTTTGGGGGGGGGGTATGGTTTTGCATTTAAGTAACTCATAGTCACGGAGGTGAGCTGGGCAGCCATACCAGTTTAACAAATGAGTAAAGAAATAAAATTGTTCTCTTTCCTGAAGTTTCAAGGAAGGGAATCTTCTATTTTAAGTTAAGATTCCCTACCCACCCCAAATTTAAAGGGGCCCTCGAATATGTTGGGTTACTTGATGGGTTATTCTTTATAGATTGGGCATCGCACGGGAGTCGTAGACCGTGACTTCTGCAATGCACCCCGTTGAAAGATTAATGTAGTTTTGCGTTAAGAGTGTCCATCGGGTGAGACGTGAAATGTTGCTGCTTTTCACTAAGTGAGACTAAAAACAGTTTGTGGCCAGGATATGCTGGCCAGTTGCCAAGCGACCACATTAAGAATAATTATGCATAAGACTGCAAGACAGCTTCAAGTGAATTCATTGGGGGACTGGGTGAGTAAAAATGTCCCAGTTCTATAGGCTAGGTTCACGTGTTGTACGTATCATCCTAGCTATTCTGATACTTATTTGTTTATATTTATTTGTATCCCACTGTTATTACTTTTATAAATAATTCAAGGAGATGAACATAGCTGATACTCCTTCCTCCTCCTATTTTCCCCAAAATAACAGTCCAGTGAGGTGAGCTGGACTGAGAGAGAATGACTAGGCCAAATTCACCCAGCCAGATTTCTTACCTAAAGTAGAACTTGAACTCTCTGTCGCCTGGTGATTGGCCCAAAGTCAGCCACCCGGATTTCAGTCCTAAGGTGGGAGTAGAACTTCCAGTTTTTAGTCTGGTGCCTTACTAGGCCAAAGTGGCTCTCTGGATGATGTGGGAATCAGATTACTTTGCCCTGCTAACCAACCATTGTTTAACCATACCATTGCTTAATGCCTTGTATGAACCTCACCTCATTTCTTTTGCATTTTTCACTCGCAGGTACGTGAACCGTCTTCTCGTCCATGATGTGGCCACTGATCAGAAGTGGTATTTTCTTTGTAACTCTTGGCTGGCCATTGACGTCGGAGACTGTGTCCTAGATAAAGTATTCCCTGTGGCCACTGAACAAGACATGAAGCAGTTCAGGTGTGCATTTTTGTTTGTTTTAGAAAGTGGAGTGGTGTGCCTTACATACAGTATATTTTTCTTCCCAACAAAGGATAAAAAAATAAAAAGTTTGGTTAAGTTTCCAGAATTCTATTTGTATTTTTAAAAAAATGGCTCTAGAGCAGAGGTCCCCAACCTTTTGGGCACCAGGGACCGGCCCCGTGGAGAGAGGTTTTTCCGTGGACCGGAGAATGCGTGGTTTTGTGTGCTGCCTTGCATCCCACAGATGGGACTTTGCTTGTTTGTGCGGACTGGTTGCTGGCATGCCGCGGCCCGGTACTGGTCCATGGACCGGGGGTTGGGGATCGCTACTCTAGAGGTAGTTCATTGGCTAGCCAAAAACAACAGTCTTTGCTTTAACTCCTAATGATCCCATCTGGTCTCTTTCACTTCTCTTCAGCAATCTCTTTTTCATGAAGACTTCCAAAGGCTTTCGTGATAGCCATATCTGGTACTCCATTTTCAACCGTTGTCCACGCAGCTCTTTCACACGAGCGCAGAGAGTGTCCTGTTGCTTCTCACTTCTTCTATGCACCATGTTGACCAGCATCATGTTTTGGGGGGTGCCCAAGGATCCAGCAGACCAAAAAATGGATTTAGGTAATAGCACAGCTTCTCTGCTTCAGAGTACAGCGGAAATGACAGTAGAGGAGTTAAGATGACTATTGGGAGTATGAAACTCTAGCCCAGAGAACAAATTCGAAATCTGATGCTTCTTCTTGCTTCGAAGTTGGTGGCCCTTTGAAAAAGTTTTCTTGATTCCTCCTCTTATCAAAAACCACACTGACCTACAGTATGCTAAATGATTGTTATAAAGATGTTGAAGGAAAGCTTACAAAATGTTTAATCTATAGGAAATATGTTCCATAAATGCTTTGCTGAGACAGTTCTACAATGTGGATTTGATATGTGGTGGTTTGGCTACAGTATGAAGTATTAGAGTAAGAGCGACAGAGTCTGACATTTGTAGGTGAAATGTGTTTTGAGTCCTGAATCCTGTTTCTGGTTTGTATTTGGGGATGATCAAGAGGAGATGTGGAGTTTGGTTTATGAAAGCAAAAGAAGAGGAGAAATAGAAGAGAACAAGGAGTGGGAGTTGGAGAAGATGATGAGATGGATGGTCTGAGTGACTGTTGAAAAGGAAGCGAAGAGAGTGAGGAGTAGGCAGGATCGGTTGGGAACATTGTTCCCAAACTTGTATCTTCTAGACAGATTGGAACTACAATTCCCAAATTATCAGCCATTACAGTCAAAAGTCAAGGTAGCTGGAGTCCCAGCGTAGCTAAGTATCTCATTCATCTTCAAAGGAACTTTTATTAGCCTCAAACTTTCGTCAGTAGAATCTTTGTTCAAAGCCACACACTTGTGTTGTAACGATACTCTAATTTTCTTCAAACCATCTACTTGTCTTGATTATAACTCATGTGACTCCTACGCAACATGGCCAAATGCTCCATTAACGTCAATATTAGACATAATCTGCTGCACTTGAATGGGATTAAGATGGTGCCTTGTCGGCATTATTCAAGCCTTAGTAGGATTCGCGCATTATGCTAAATCACGGTTTCCAAATCACTGAAATGGTTTCACAAAAATAGATTTAAGCCGAAACCGTACAAGCACATGACGCTTCTTTTTCACCTGCTCTCCCCAGGCAAGATAGAATTCACCTGGCAGGAGGTGATGATCGGCTTTGAAAGCTCCATCCTGATGTTCCCCATCAACTTGCTCATCGTCCAAATCTTCCGGAATATCCGTTCTCGGTTTAAGAAAGAGCAGAAACCAGGGAAAAGTGGACGCGTGTCCCCTGACCTGCCTTCTCTTCCCCAACAATCCCCCCCAAATGTGTCCCTCACTGCTGAGGCTGTGATCAAGGCAAGTCACTGGAATGGTTTATGGCAAGTGGGACAGTTGGTTGACTCATGCAAGAGACCCCACCCCTGATAGGAAGCTCAAGTAGCAAACAATGTGCATGGACAGCCCTAGGGCATATTGCCTTCTGTGGCAAACCTGAAAATGATGCTCACGGGCATCTAAGGACCCACGCCGCAGGAAGGCATCCGTCCCATAAGTATGTCTCCAACACAACCCTGAAGGATCAAAGCGCTCCTCCAGAATAGGTTGTCTAATCTTGCTTTAGGAGAAAACAATGAAGAGTGGTTTGTTATCTGTGTGGAGGGAATGCAAGGGGCATCCCCACGATTCTGACCGATCTCATTTTTTTAACTAACAATTTTACCCAGGATATTAGGAGGATTGCCAATTCCCTGTTCAAAACCCTGAAGGCCCCTTTGCCTTCCTCGGATCCTGATTTCAGTAAATCGACTGATATCAACAAGCTGCTGGCCCTGGTGGAGGACATCATCTGCCAGCAGAACAGGGTGGGAGAGGAATTTTACGATGAGAGCAAAAAGAAAGAGGACCCCATTATCATCACCCTCGGGCTGGTGGATCTGCAAGGTAAGTCAGGCACGGCAGGATTCCCATGAATGAAGGAGACGGTGCCCTCAGAACTGAATCTTAATTAGCCACTTAAAATCTCCTTCAATTGGGGTGATAGTTAAGCTGGTTATTCTTCCCACTTGTTTCAAAGGCAGGTGCTTACAATGACTTTTGGCCCTATCTCCTCTCTTTCAGTGAACCGATACTTTCACAGTTCTGGACAATATTACATGTGTTGAATGCAAAACTAAGTTTGCAACTGAGCACACTTTTATACAGAATTTCAGAACAGTGATATGTTTTTTATAACTTTCTAATTCATTTCTTTCTTTCTTTTTTTTCTTTCTTCTTTCTTTCTTTCTTTCTTTCTTTCTCTCGCTCCCTCTCTCGCTCCCTCCCTCCCTCCCTCCCTCCCTCCCTTCCTTCCTTCCTTCCTTTCTCCCTCCCTCCCTCCCTCCCTCAGAAAAGAGAAGGACGCCAACCCCCGAGAGAGGGATGGTGGAAAGGCTGAAGCATCGGGACTACAAGCGTTGCCTCCATGCCCAGCTGCAGCACGTGGAACTTGAACTGGAGCTGTTGGGGCCTCATCGCTTCCAGGACCCGCAAAGCTACACCCAGGCAGTTAGGCAGGTTCAGCACATGAAGCTCTTTTTGGAAAGTCAGCTCTGCTCTGCAACGCCTGACAGTGAAAGGTAAAACAGCGCGCGTGCTACACGACATCCAGGACTTCCGCACTACTCCTGTTTCGTAGGGAATTGTTTAAAAGAGCCAGTGTGGTTCAATGGTGGAGATGCTGGACTAGGAAAAGGGAGAGCCAGGTTCTGATGCCCCCAAAGCCATGGAAACTTCCTGGGGGGGACCTTGAGCCAACCGCCTCTTCTTAGCTCAGCCTATTTCCAGAGTTGTTATTAGGCAAGTTGAAAAAAAAAAATCCTTGGTAACCTAAAGAAAATGTGGGATACTTATCTAATCAATAAAACCAATCAGAAGTGGACAATATCTGGTCCTTTAAGTACCAAAGAATGCTACTTCGCATCAGACTCATCCATGGGACCAATGGTGAGAGACGATAGAGGTTCCCACTGCGCAATAATCTTCCCTTTGGTCTTCCTTCAGCCTGTGGTTCGGCTCCTTCTCTATTTTTTTCACCGTATGGATTTGATTGTTTTGCAAATGGAATCCAGCGCTGGTGCTACCCATGTTCTTTGCTGCTCTAGGAATTCACCAACGCCGAGCCTTCCTGGAGACAGCAAGAAAGAATTGACCCCTAAAGGTTTGCCTGGGTGGTTCGTGTTTGTCGGCTGGTTCTTGGTGATCCTTACCAGTGGAGTCTCTGGTTTTTTCACCATGCTGTATGGACTGCACTATGGCAAGGATAACTCCATCAAGTGGCTCATCTCCATGGCCATCTCTTTCTTTGAGAGCCTCTTCATCACCCAACCATTAAAGGTATCTATTTTCCCCCTCCTTATGGACAACCATGTCTTCTCTGTGAAGTATGACATGACTCCAACTCTGGTTAGCACAGGGGTTCCCAACTGGGGTGTTCTCAACCCCTAGGAGTGCAAGATGATATTCCAAGGGGTGCAAAAACTTGGGTTTTTCAAAATTATAGTGTATATGCATAATTCGTTGCCGTTATTTCAAACTTTTGTAAGGGATGTGAGAATATTTCAGAAGCGTTCTAGGGGCGCGGGGTATAGAAAAGATTGGGAGCCGTTGGGTTAGAAGATGCAGTTTGATTTGAAAGTTGCTCTCAAAGTGCTTTATTGCCATTCAGCGTTCCCTAATCTTGCTTGACTTCAAAAGATGTGCTTTGAAGTTAGGAGCAGGTGGTCTTTGAACAAAGTTCTGACAAGCACAGGAGGAATGTGCAGGAAGGTGTGTTTCGATTGGTTATGAAGTGGATAGGCCAAAAACCTCACATTTCTCTACGGAAGACAGAGCCTAAACTTTTTTTTTATCATACACAGCACCCAAGTCCACTACTATAGCCAGAGGCTGGGCAATACGAGAAGAAGACAATTGCAATATGGACACCTGGTCGCATTGTATGGTTGTCTTTGGGCAGCATGCTTGACCACATCCAACAAAGACGTAGCAAAGGCATTCCTACAACATGCCAAGCTTGGCTAGGTTCAACCTTGATAACATTTTGTGTGTGTGTGAGTTAGCACATTCTGCACATCCTGCCAATTTGATTAATTAATTGTTCACTCTGTTGGACAAAACAATAAAAGTGTGTTCATTCAGTAACTACGGTAGACTTAACATTCTGTCTCTAAGTGGAAAACAAAGTGGATGTTGCATTTTCTTTTTTAACTAATTTGCAAAAGTGGCTGTAGGTTATCCAATGGTAGCATGCGGACAGGGGCCCAAACATCTCAGTCAAAGTTGTCTGTGCCCCTTTCTCTTCTAGGTTCTTGGATTTGCTGCTTTCTTTGCTCTGGTTCTGAAAAAGGTGGAACAGGAAGATGAGGAGGCCACATCTATTGACGGTCCATTGTCGGTCACAGGTAATCTATTTAATTCATCGAGACCTGGAGCAGAATATCTGTGACTTTCCAGGTTGAGCTGAACATAGCAAGCCCTGGTGAGGGATGCTGGAAACTCTAGTGATATCCAGGGAGGTAATATATACCTGAACAAGGCAAAAAAAAAATAAAGCGATTGATTAAAAAGGATTCCAGTAATTAAACCACAGAACAGGAATGTTTGTTTCACAAAGGAGAAGTTTGCTGGAACAAAAAATATCTCCAACAACTAATGAAAAACAGCATGAAAGATGCTGTGAAATGCTACTGGGATAAGTTGCCTCACAATTTGAATATGATCAGCAAAAGATCATCTTTGTTCTATCCAACTATCCAACTAGCAAGTAAGCAGTTGGCTGAAAGGGATAATTCTGTCAGTTTTAGCTTCCATCATCTCGTTTTTCTAAATTTGTCAATTTTGGTTCCTTCATTTCTCATTATTCCATTTACGGATTTGGGCTGTCACACCGAGACAATGGAAACGGATATTTTTTTAAAAAAATGCATAGAAATGTTACAAATGTTTGTGTATGTTTCTCCGAATACTCCAAATACACAACACTTGTGTTTAGTTAGGTAGCTGTGCAGCTTTCAACCACTCCGTACCAGAATGAATAACTGCACATTATTTGCATGAATATGCACATCTTTGTGCAGTTTCCTCATCTGCATATTTTGGAGTTAGAGCAAACGTCCAGGAAGTGCACATTAAAAGGATAATTAAGTCTGAACAGGAGATAAAAAAAAATGTAATTGGATCAATTCACACCTAGATAAACACTTAATAAAGATCTCTCCCAGCTTTAGTATCACAACAATTATTCTAAGACCGAGGATAAGATCATTCCTTGGGTGAGTACATCCTAAAAATATGATTCTGGAAAGTCTCTTTTTCCTTGAGAAGTTGGGTTTTGTTTTTTTTGCAACTTTGGTTTCATTGGAAAATGAGCACATTTACAACCACCTTGGACATCTGCCAGTTCTCCTACTGTCTTTGAAGAGCAAGTACGGCACCATTTTGGCTTCTTTTCTTCCTGATTATCTATTTTTATCTCCTCTTAAGTTGAACATTTTCTCTCTTCTTATCCGTTTTGATAGCTATGATGAGCTCAGGATCATTTGTCTTGCTTGATATCTATTTATCTATCTAGCTATCCTTCTTTTTTGCTTTTTGGCCTGTAATCTGAGTGTTAGGTAAGTCTCCGTTATTTTGCATATCTAAACATTTAGCTTTTCTGTTGAGCTTCGATCTCTCTTATGAACTGCTTTCCTTTTCAATAAGAGCATGAGACAAGTTGCATGCAAACTGAATTTGCATAAGATAACAACATCAAAGGAAGGACTTGGCTTCAAATAATTATACAGTCAAGAAGAAGAAGAATTAAAATTGCTGATATTAATATGGTTTCAAATATTATGTATCCAGGTCAATAACGTATTAGACCAAAAGAATATCTTATACATTTTGAAGATAAACCCTACTGTGTTAAGTATAATTTATTCTATTTGTATATACTGTGTATTTAAGAATAATGTACATATTTACCTGGAAGTAGATCCATTCAATTTAGTAACTGAAATGAATTTAGTCTGTATATATTTCTATATATTTATAGTTTTAATATACTATTAAGTAAAATTGCAAAGTTTGCCCCTAAAGAATCTTGTGACTGGGTGCCTTGGTGTGTCCGCATGTACTATTATGTGTAGAGCTTTTTAAAATAAACGTCATGTTTACAACTAGTATATTCTACAACGGTTAATAGTCTATTCTGTCCTTTTGTGGGGCAGGTGATCCAACTCCTATCTTTGGGGCGCGCAGAGATAGTGGAAATAACATCTACCAGCCTCCTCCTGCGACTGACATTGAGAAAATGAAGATGGACCACATCAAGGAACAGAAAGCCTTTGCCCTGATTCGAGAAATATTGGGTATGTTTTGTGTGATCGTATTCTGAAAAACTGCTGGAGGAAAGGAAGCTTCAGATTAAAGCCTGACTTTTGTAAGGCTAGCTAGCTAGCTTTGCCAGGTCCCTTTGGCCTCTTGTATGCCATCTGCTAAATTTCCCATTTATTTTGAAAATTGCCACCAGGAGCTGTGATTCTTTTTGCTGTCTATCTGTCAGGCACAGGAAATCAGGCACCAAGGTTATTCAAATGACTGGAAGTTTTAATCCATGCTAGCTCTCTACAGGAATCTGAACTATTGATAGTCAAGTCAAATTGGTGGTAGATAAGAGTCAAAGGAGGGCTGGACTTAAATCTTTTGTGAGCATGAAGGGATTCCAAGCTAATGGCATGCTTGACTCCTCTCTTGGGCTCAATCTGGCCATCTCCAGCACTACCTTTGACATCTGGTTGACTGAGGGTTTGGGGTGTGGGAGGGTGCGTAAAAGATCAGGGAAGTAAAATCGGTCAGAATCCCTGATTTGAATGAGTTACCAAGCCTTAGGCAACAGAATCAACCTGCACGATGATAAAAAAAAAACAACAACAACCATGCCATGGTTCTCCCAGCATCAGTCTGTGACTTGGGAATAGAACGTGTTTTCGTGTTTGGTATCTTTTCTTCAGCCTACTTGGGATTCTTATGGATGCTGCTCCTGGTTGCCTACGGACAGCGTGACCCAAACTCCTATTATCTCAACAAACATATTGAGAACAGTTTCACAGAAGGATTTGAAGAGATTTTAAGCTATCGGGACTTCTTCAAGTGGGCAAGAACCGTCTTAATCGGCAACCTATACGGGCCATATGAAGGTAGAGTGGTATAAGGGCCTATGGCAGCCCTCTCAAACCAAACTGAATGTAGTCTCTTTCTCTCAGAGTTCTTTGTTAGCAAAGTTTATTGAGATGAATGGGGTCGGGGTGACAAAACTTTTAATATCTGAATTATTTGTTCATTTATATCCTACCTGTATTATCTTTACGAAGAACTCAAGGCAGTAAACATATCTACACTTTCCTGCTCCTGTTTTCCCCACAACAACAAACAAGCCAGTGAAGTGAATTGGGCTAAGAGAGAGTGACTGGCCCAAAGTCACCCAACTGGCTTCTATGCCTAAAGCGGGACTAGAACTCACCATCTCCCAGTTTCTAGCCTGGCGCCTTAACCATCACACCAACTGGCTTTTTACCTTTATCCTCATGTACCTTTAAATGGATTTTTTTTCCTAACCCTCATCATAGCATCCAGCAAGGAGGCAGGACTCTTTAGTAGTAAGAGTGTCCTGAATTCTTTTACAAATACTTTTTGTTATTAGGATAACTAAGTGTTTATGCTACAGGTCACCAAACCTTTGAGGTGCTGGGCATTATCATTTAATAATGGGGGACGGAAGGATGGATGGATGGAAGGAAGGAAGGAAGGAAGGAAGGAAGGAAGGAGGGAGGGAGGGAAGGAGCCAAAATACATTCTAATGGCCAAAATGCAGTTCAAACTCTAATTAAGATGAATTAATATATGTTCCTCTAAATTGCTTAGGTTGAATTAGAAGTCAGCAGCACTGTATCCATAAATTCTGGAATTTCTAGAATAGTTTCTACAAGCAGTCATATAACCTAGACCTTATGAGATCATCAGACAGATCTCCTAAGATTTTGGAGATCTCACTCCCAAGGCCGTCAATGATCTTACGCAAGGACACCCACATCTTCTGAAATCTGATGAGTTTGCAAGATTGCAGAAAAGCACACCGACACATACACAGATACACAGACACACACCACATATCCCCATAGACAATTGGGGGGAATCGTCAACCATGTTTTCCATCCTTGGGTTTTAAGCTAAAGCAACCGAGAAGAGAGAAAATGCCAATGAGTATAGTCTGAATGGCATATTCAAACCCTCCTTCCTTCTCAAATCCTCCCAAGGTTTCATCACAGATGGCAACTCCAAACTGGTGGGCAGTGCTCGGATTCGTCAAGTGAGGGTCAAGGGCAACTCCTGCCCCATTGATCCCAGCTTAGAGTTGACGGTCAGAGAGTGTCACGCCGCCTATTCCTTTGACACCGAGGACATGGGAGACTATGGCATCAACTGGAACGGTTCTTCCTTGGACAACAGTTCCGAGTTCTATTCATCTTGGCAATACCAGAGCCAGGCAAGGCTGAGAGGACACCCCATCTGGGGCAAAGTGGCTGTTTACAGAGGGGGAGGCTACATCGTGCACCTGGGGATGGATTCCACCAATGCCTCCAGGTAACCTCCTGCGGTTGCATGAGTTGAGTTGGCTCATTTGTTTTTAAAGTCAAGCAGCGATCTGGATTTGGAAGGGGATAGGACAGTGATGGCGAACCTTTTAGAGACCGAGTGCCCAAACTGCAACCCAAAACCCACTTATGCATTGTCGGGTGCCGGGTGGGTGTGGCCCATTGGGTGGGCGTGGCTGCGGTGGTAACAGCAGACTGGGTGGGACTAAAAAGTTCAATCAATCAATTCCAACTTTGCAAGATCTTTTTTTTTTCCGTGAGAAGTTGAAATTGACTGATTCATTGAACCTTTTTTCTTTGTACACGACGGCGGAGGTCTAAAGCGAAAAGGTTTTATAAAACCCAGATGAAGGCCTAGGACTGGGGCGACGGCACGTGTGCCCACAGAGAGGGCTCTGAGTGCCGCCTCTGGCACCTGTGCCATAGGTTCGCCACCAGTGGGATAGGATGAGTTTCCAGTGAGTGTAAATTTGTGGTTCTTATCTGTTGTCTCTTGGTTAAGTGGAGCAGATCTTCTCTTAGTGCTGCACAAGCCCAGGGAAAGAGGGAACTTTGTCTCCAGAATCAAACACAAGCGTGCACTAAATCATCTTTTCCTGTTCAAGACCAGATCGCTGCACCACCGTGGCTATAACTGCCTCTCTTTGGGGGTTGTCCTAAAGGGCGAAGTTTAATCAACTAATCAGACCGATTGATTTAAATATTTTGACTAAAAGGACTCACTTGGCAGTTGCTTTTAAAATTAGTAATCTTGGAGCTTAATCGTTTTTGTTTAAATCATTTTGAGTATTGGCATAAGATGGTATTTTCAGATTTGGTAACATTTAAGATGTGTGGACTTCAACTCCCAGAATCCCCCAGCCAGAGTAGTCATTGCTGAGTATTTGGGGGAACTGAAGCTCTCACATCTGGAAGTTGTCAAAATTGAGAAACATTGGACACTGGATACTTGTCCCTCAAATTGGCGGGGGGGGGGGGGCTGACAGGCATAGGAAATTCCTTACTGTTATT